AGCATTAAACGTAAGAATCCCGCTCGTGACACTGACTTTTTTATCTCGACTAAAAACCTTAATTAATTGTAATATATTAATTGGTCAAGCGGACCACGAAAACTAGTGAATGGAATAAGTTAAAATGAAGTGCTAAAGAACTAAAGCTCTCCGTGGCCATTTCAACTGTCGCCGAGAATCAAATCGGTTACACGACATTTGAAAAATGGCAAAAAGGAGGGAAAATTCAAAAGGTGCGGTTGAGATGGGAAGTTAGTGTCCGAGTGTATCGAAGTAGCGATTGCTCAAGTGGTAGAGTAGCGGCGAAGGTCGTGGGTTCGAATCCCGCTCGTGACCCTGACTTTTTTATCTCGACTAAAAACCTTAATTAATTGAATTAAACGTAAGGAAAATAATACGAGGTTAGGGAGCACACTCAGGTTTAACGTATAAAAGTGAATCAGTCAGGATGGTAAAATTTCGTTGTTTAACCTACATTATTCTGAACTGCATAGTCAAGTAAAAGCACAATATGTCTTTTTTTCGTTAAATAGATATCACCGTTTAAATAAAGTAAATTTTTATAAATCCGTCCATCTTAAATACGTAACTTGCTGGTTTAAGGGCACTGCGGTAAACAAGGATATGTGCGAAATCATATGTACACTTATATCACGCAATCCGTAGCGAGTATCTATTCCAAATAAATTCAGTAAATTCAAATTCATGTGACTACTGTTCAGAAATAGAGACATGCGAACACCTAATCAAGATATGCCTCAAATAAAACATTAAAAGGAAAACAATATTCGATTGCATATTTCAAGACCTGGAACTCCCACTCAACTATAAAAAAATTATAAGTTTTAGTAATTTACATGTGAATCACGGTAAGATTCTCAAAACAGAATAAAACATGAATTACGAATGTTCTTTCGTAAAAAGACCAACTAAATGTTCTTTAGAACCTTATGGAAAACGGCGATTTAAAGCATAAATGTAACAATAATTCAAAAATGTAATAGATAGTATAGACATAGTGTAAAAGTTAAGGAGGTACCGTATTTTGTACGAACAGTGGTTTTTGTCCTATTTATGTTGTTAAGAACACTTCTATTTGATGTAATTGAACAAATTTCTTTTTTCGGGAAAATCTGTTGTTTCAATGCAACTATTATAAAATACTTTACCAATTTAACAAATTTTTAAGGTACTTTATTTGTTCAAAGAGAGGTTATAATTATGTTCTACTGTAAAGTTATAGTTTCAAGATTGTCTACATACTGGTTGCTTTTGTTGGCTGAAATTTAAAACGTTATAAAACACAATATCCCGTAAGACGGTTGCAAACATTTTCGAACATTTTTCCAATATCTTTTTTTAAACTCTTTTTTAATCAATGAATCTTAATTTTGATTCACATTTCTTCATTTCTTTTTCAGGAAAGTCTGTAGTTTTTGTTTCTTTCGTTAATAAACTCTCTCAACAAGTTTTAATGTATTTCAGCAATTTTTCAATTTATTTGTCCAAGGAAGGATTACATGGACGTTTCATTGGAGGTTGCGATTCTTGATGTATGATACTGATTTTTCTTTTTCCATAGACAACATCTCTGGCTGGAATGTCCATTTTTCTGATCTGTTATCTAATATCTGTCTAACACTTAACATTTTACTGTTTCCCATGGCCTGGCATCTACTCATCGGTCCTTATAATAGGAGTTAAAAACTTTACCACCACCAAAAAAATTAATGACATGCTAAGATTGTTTGCGTATTACTGATCATTATATGAAGAGTTTTTCAAGGTTTTTGCCAAGTAATGGGAGCCAATCGAGGATGCCGTGTAACGTTAAGTAGTTGCTGAGGTTTTTGCGGTTTGGGAATGGGTGTTATAATTGGTAATTTCCATTGGTTCGAGTAGAAAGGAACGAGTAGTAAATCGTAATAAAGAAATTTATAGCTTATTTTAAAGAAGTTTTCAGAGGATGTTTATGATGATATGGATAAGGGTCTGGGGATTTTTTATCTGGAGGAGACGCGTAATGCATATGACCGCAGATAGACTGAAGGATTTAATGGAAGAAGGAATTGGTCAAACTAAATATCAAAACGTAAAAAAACAATATGAAATAACGCATAATATGATATGATCATATGCAGAGGTTATTCTACCTGTACAAAAATAAAAACACATAAACTAATATAAAGACAACAAAAGTGCTGAAGTAACTATGTCAAAAAAATAATCTAAAAATTATTCTAGTTGATAGTGATCGACCTCCGTAGTTTTAAATTGATGTATTGGATCTTCTTGAAGTCAATTTCTTTTGACCTCAAGAAGATCCAATACATCAATTTAAAAATTAATTCATGTACGTTTACCAGGAAAACGATCAAGTAGACTTCTTACCTGAAACAATTAAAAAATTATAAAAGAAACGACACAATTAAGGATGGCTTAAATTTATGACAGTTAATACAGACATACAAAATAAGAAAACAGCCAAATTATTTAGTAATGTAAACAAACCGATTTAACTTTTTAAATGGATTCATGATTGAAAAAAAATGATGAAACAGAACTCCTGAAAAACAGTATTTGAAATTAACCAAGTTCTGAGGTTGGCTTTGAATAACTCCTTTGTATTTCTATCAGATTAAAGTAATCATGTTGTTCCTCTCGAGAGAGATCGCTGATACAATTGTTTTTAGCTGACCATAAATTAAGAATTAGCGTTGAAAGATAAAAATGGAAACAAAACCCCGTCCGCATTTAGCTTCTTGTAAAGGATAAATAATGTTTGCAATTTACGCTATCTTTATTGTTTTATAGATAACCGGTAACATCGAAGTTGTATAATTATCACAACGACATATGCTCTACCAAATATAAATAATAATGTAATAACTTGTTAAATATTTATAGTTTTTGTAGAAGACACAACGGTAAATCATTTTATTTTAAATTACGATAAAACACCTTTTTTTATAATTATTATTTTAATTGTGTTCTATACATATTCGTACATATTACAAATGTGGCGGTCATCACATTAATACTAATGCCAGCGCTTCCCCCGGTGGACACATGCCATCAGAAGCCAGCCAATGCTGGAACTTAGTGGGAGGCGCGAGGAAGTCCCGAGGCCTTCGGCGATTAAGCGACGTTGCAGGATCTCGGGATGGGGCTGAGTCTCAGGGCTCGAGCATAGGGTTAGGATGGATTGAGAGGTTGTTATGATACTTTTAGAATCGCGAACGGTTCAGTTCGGAGACAGAAGGGATGTTGTGGGTAGTGAGGTTAGTGTCGTAATAAGGAACTTTGGTAATTTGTCTGAGGACTTTTGGTTCGAAGTATTGGTTTCGCTGGATGTGGGTTGGATGGCTTGGCAGAAGCCCCGTCCGTATGTCCAAACTGGTCACAGTAAAGTCTTGTATAACGCTAGTTTAGATTTGACAGTACAGCCAGATTTTGGTCCTAGAAGTCTTCGTAGTTATCCATGTCATCTGAGTTGAGGTCTCTTAAGTCATGTGTGAAGATACTATGTCAGTTTGTTATCTAGGAATAGTCCTAAGTATTTGACTTGAACGGAAGTCGGTAACTCTTTGTTGTTATGTACGATGGAGTGCTTTTTCAATGTGAACATACACTGAGTACATTTTTCTTCATTCAGTCTTGTCCTCCACATTTTGCACCTGTCTTCGATAAGCTCAACGTGTTCTTGGATTTTGAAGATGGATTGGATAGGACGCAAGTTAGTGGACAAAATTGGGGTATCGTCCGTGTAGGTGGTTTTGACGGTATTAGGGTGTATAGGTAGGTCAGCAGTATAAATGTTATAAATGATGGGATTCTTTCGTCAGGGTTTTCTCAATACTCATTGATGGAAAATTTCCATGTCACATGGACAAAGGTGAAACGTTTGATCCTTTTTATCTTCCCTCAACAGTTGGCAAACCAATGGCTATAAATTAATTCGAAGGCCCACTCCTGGTCAATATATTTGACGAGCCATTTTCGAGCCTAATGCCATCTTCGCTAATTTCTAGCGTCGAATGACGGAAAACGTCCATTCATGACTGAGACTGCGTTTACAGTTGCTGATAAATATCACTAGTTTCTAAATAACGGTACTTCGTGAAGAAAGTAATATAGGATATTATCTTATACGTTGTAATCCATGTTTTTAATAATGCTTTTTATTTATAGCTTGACCGTCTCCTGAACTAACAGATTCTGCCCAATTTTCACCGACAAATGAAATACTTATTTCAATTATTTTAATAAACAAGAGAAGTTCAATTTAAACATTTTCTGTTCAGTATTTTTATAAAACCATATCTCATATCGTGAAAACGGTTCGTTGTATAAATCAATAATTGACGCTTCTCTGCATCCGGGCCCGGTTTTCGAAACACCATAAATTCCAGTCTCATCTCGCTAGAGGATCATCAAACATTAACGCCCTTTGCCACAGTGATTTTTATTCATAGCCCATGCTTGAAATTCGCCGCCACTTACCGCGATGTAGGATAACGTGTCATGTCACTGAATTACAAATTATCATTTCTACTTATACGCCCACGGCTTGGGGATCCTTCAACTTCTCATCTTGTAAATGGCGCTGTGAAAACGTTTCGTGGACATAAAGCTGATTGCGTGAAAAACTTTTTAAAAGCCCTCTTCTAATTTATTCATACGGTTTTATCCGTTTTAGACAAATGAAGGGGTACGAACGGGTACTATGCGCCTCCAATAGCCTCTAATGCCCAACTCCGACTTTCCACCTTCACGAAGCTTATGCGGGTGTACCCTGTTAACTAACAAACGGAAAGAGGGATATGGAGGGACAGGAGCTGGACCTGACACCTCCTAATCCTAAACCCAACACCTGATAACTTGTGAAAATCAAAGTGCCAAGGAATGGCTCATGGCCACGGTGCCTACCATCCACCCATGGGAAGGGGCCTTAGGGTAGGCCTCTATAGAGAAATCATTAAAACCACTAGGGTGGCCTGTGGGTTCCGGACCCTGACCTTCTGGGCACTACGGACGCTACCACCATTCTCGGGATGATGGAGTCCCAAAACCCAGGTATTAATACCGGGAAATGGAGAATCATCAGCCAGAGGATAGAAGACAAAGGAAAAAGTCTAATCCTGGTGGTTGACATTGACGATGTATCCTTTGGGAATCTGAACAAAGCCAACTTAAAACTATACCTTGGCTTTGCGATGATAAACCTAAGGGTCATCAGAAAAGCAACCAACACTGATGCTGTGGGTGCTTCAAGCAAACCTCCAGCACAGTAAGGCAGCAACACTTACGCTTTGTCGTGTGGTTAAGGAGAAAAACATCGACGTAGCCCTTATCCAAGAACCCTGGCTAGTAAAAGGCAGAGTAGCCGGGCTGGGAGATAGAGGGAAAAGAGTCATATATGACCACACGCAACAAAACGTAAGAACATGCATTTTAATTAAAAATGAACTACAATGCCTAATCACTTATGAGCTCTGTTCTAGGGACCAAACAGCAATTAGGCTAAACTACATGAAGGAAGAAGTTAAGATGGACGTGATGATGGCCTCAACTTACATGCCTTATGACTCACCGGGACCTCCACCACCAATAGAAACTGAGGATCTGGTACAGTACTGCAGGCACAAAAACCTACAGTTGATCATTGGAGCTGATGCAAACTCACACAACGAGGTATGGAACAGCACAAACACTAACAAAAGAGGTGAGAAGCTTTTAGAATTCTTAATAACTAATGATTTAAGTATTATTAACAAAGGCTCTGAACCAACTTTTGTAACTAACAGACGGCCGGAAGTTATTGACATTACTCTTTTCACCCGCTGTGTTTCGAACCGGATAGTGAATTGGGCGGTCTCTGAGGAGATATCTAACTCAGACCACCGACACATATACATGGAAATCACACAAGTTGATAAGACATGTAAAGTGGGTCGGAACCCCCGAAACACTGACTGGGGGAAGTACAGCGGGTTGTTGGAGAGAAGCGCATTAACTTCAATAGCTAATATTAAAAGCACCCTAGATATTGAGCTAACTTCTACACAAATACAAGAAGCCCTAATAAACTCATATCATGAAGCCTGTCCACAAACCACCTACAACAACGGGAAAAAAGTTTGCTGGTGGAATGATAACCTGGCGGCACTAAGAAAGAAAACTCGCAAACTTTGGAATAGAGCGAAAAAAACGGGGAATACTGAAGAATACAGTAAAACCCTAACAGAATACAATAGGGAAATAAAAAAGGCGAAACAGGAATCGTGGAGGAAATATTGCAAAGAAATCGAAAACATCACAGAGGCAAGCAGACTCCACAAAATCCTCGCCAAAGACCCTATAAACCCCATCGGAACAATAAAAAACCAGATGGAAAACACACAGAAACCGGACAGGAAACATTAGAAACCCTAATAAGAACGCACTTTCCGGAATCCAAAATTATTACCAACCTAGAAATAAAGGAGAGCCATGAACCCGCCAAAGGCTACAAAGCCAGAAGGGAAGATTGGCAAATAGCCAAAACAGTAATCACCTATGACAAGATTGAATGGGCTATAGAAAACTTTAGCCCATTCAAATCTCCAGGAACAGACGGAATATATCCAGTACTACTACAAAAGGGAAAAACTATACTAATCCCCCTACTTGTAAAAATATACAGTAGCTGCCTAGCAATGGGATACATCCCAAGCATATGGAGAACTGTAAAAGTAGTTTTCATTCCTAAAGCTGCTCGGAACAACTACACAGATGCAAAATCGTATAGACCGATTAGTGTAACATCCTTTCTACTCAAGAAACTTGAAAGGCTGGTTGAAAAACATGTAAGGGGCAGTCTTTACAAGAAAAACCCCTTCATAACCATCAACATGCCTATCAGAAAGGAAAATCGTGTGTATCAGCACTACATCAACTAACAATACAGATAGAGGATTCACTGAACAACCAAGAAACAGCATTAGGAACCTTCTTGGACATTGAAGGAGCATTTGACATCCTTTCGAAGCAATGGTTACATCACTCAAACAGCGAGGAACAGACGAAACCTGCTTTAGATGGATAGAATCAATGCTAAAAAGCAGGAAAGTGCAGGTCTCCATGTTCCACGAAAAAGTAGAAGCAGTGGCGGCGAGGGGGTGTCCACAGGGAGGAATACTCTCGCCTCTGCTGTGGAATGTGGTAGTGGACAGCCTCATATGCGAACTAAATGAAAGTGGAATTTACACCCAAGGCTATGCAGATGACATTGTCATACTAGTCAGGGGAAAATTCAACTCAACATTAAAAGAGCTCACCCAAAGAGCACTAAACCTGGTGAAACAATGGTGCTTAAAACGGGGACTTAAAATAAACCCCTCAAAAACCACCTTAATTGCTTTCACCAAGAAAAGAAATATAGAAATACAAGGATTGCGCTTCTATAATGAAATGCTGCTTTTAAAAAATGAGGTCAAATATCTAGGAATAATAATAACATACAGTAGCAAAAAGTAAAATATCGCTAATGACCACAAGAAGGACCTTAGGCAAATCCTGGGGACTAAAACCGAAAATGGCCTATTGGCTATATACGGCAGTAATAAGACCCAGAATAACCTACGGATCACTAATCTGGTGGAACAAAGCTCAACAAAAAGTCGCTACCCGAACATTAGGCAGCATACAAAAACTAGTAAGCCTATGTATCACAGTGGCGATGAGAACAACCCCTACAAACGCATTAGAAACCTTGCTAAACCTAACTCCACTTGAAATATTCATACAAGAAGAGGTAGGAAAAGCTCATTTAGGCTCCAAAAACAATTAAATTGGAAATGAACCAAACAATTCGGGCATACAACCATAATCAATAAAATCAGACACCCATTATTAGAAATGGGGACTGACTACATGATTCCGGAAACAATCTTCACAACTTCCTATAAAGTCTCAACAGACTATAAAGGAGAGGAAGAACACAGGAAAGCACCAGATACAATGACATGGTATACGGATGGCTCCAAAACAAACGAAGGAACCGGATCAGGCGTTTTCTGTACAAGGCCAAAATATGAGCAATCAAACTCATTAGGGAAGTATACCAGTACCTCTTGACCAATTAAATAATTACAATTAATTAAGGTTTTTAGTTGAGATGAAAAAAAGTTAATGGCACGAGCGGGATTCGAACCCACGATCTTCGGCTAGATACGCCGCTGCTCTACCACTTGAGCTATCGTGACCTCGATCCACTCGGACATCAACTTCCTTTCTCAACTCCACCTCATGAGTTTTCCCTCCTTTTTCCCATTTTTTCATCTCATCTAAAAACCTTAATTAATTGTAATGATTTAATTGGTCAAGCGGACCAAGAAATTAGTGAATTTAAAGAATTAATATGAAGTACACTTCACTAAAGCTTTCCGTGGCCATTTCAATTGTCGTCGAGAATCCAAACCGATTACACGACATTTGAAAAATGGCAAATAGGTAAATAGACTGGTAGGACTGTATGATATGGCTACAAAGTTTGTCGCACTGCGTCTATCACAATCCGGATCACAGGAAAAGACCTGCAGCATTAACAATAATGGCTTTTTCCTTCGTAAAAGATTAATAAACTCAATTGAATTGAACTAAGGAAGCAAAAGTCCAAAAAGCCACATGGTGCTTACTGGTTCTACTTGCTAGTGTCCTATCTATCTTTCCCTATCTTATGATCTCTCATCAGTTTATATGCCACGAGAAGGCTTTAAATTTCTTTTATAGCCATTGATGTGTCTACTTGTGAGTAAAGATGAAATTAATCAAATGTTTACCTTTGGCTGTACGACATGGAAAATTAAAAAACCACTTCCATAACCTAAACTAGGAACCATGGGAAAAGAATTGCAGGGTCAGTGGTCTTTTCCATCTTAAATGAAAAATAGAGATAAATGAATTGGACTAAGGAATTAAATGCTAGGCATTGCCATCTGAGAAAACAACTAAACAAAATGGAAATACTTAAGAATGTACCCATTTATAGGTTATGCAACGAGAAACAAGAAACTACCTCTCATATTATCTTCGAATTTTAAGCAACCGCTCATGAAGACATGACCAATGGCACTAGAAAACTCAAAAAACGAAAATAAAAACTGGGGAAAGAATGGCTGAAACTTTCAGAGGTGTTCTTAAAGGAAGAAAGTCATAATCCTCTCCATCATATCCTATTCTATGCTGGAAAGAGCAGCATCATCATCACCACGATAGGGTAGTTTGGTAGGTAAATTTGTATGAGATTGTTACAAAGCTTGTCGAACAGCATCATCAAAATGAATCTACTATGCTCCTCTGCTTATGGATTATTGCTTACTTTAGCCTTATCATGACCGTCCATAGGTAGTAGCTTCCAAGCTGTATTCCCTCCAGGGAAAATAATTGCAACAAAACAGTCAATGATCTCTGTCTTAAAAGAAGAACAGAGTTAATCAAACCTAACTTCTGAGTAACTAGGTAAATAAATGAACCACAAAGCTGCTGGGCTCATAAAACATGAAATCCGCACTTCCTAGTATTCTCACCATCCTTTTCTGAAAGGATTCACCATACTGAAAAGATTCACATCGTTCTGACCATAAAGAAAGGTCCTTCAATTTCATTTATAGACATTGAAGTTTCAACTGGTGAGTGAATGAATGGTTAATAAAAAAGAAGTTAGTTTTGAACTAAAATTTAATTATCCGACATGGAAAATTTCCAAAAACCTTGAGCTAGAAAACACATTCCAAGTAGATTTCCATGATACTTCACTATATGATTGTTCATTGTTATGGTTTGTTAATTTTAATTAAGAATAATTATGTTGGCTCTGGCCTTTAAGATGCATTGCACCAGCTGGGCATTCGGTAGATTTGTTCTGTGTTAGCCGGTGTTCCATAGAGTAAGTTTGTAAGAGTTATTGACTTATAACTATTGTATTTTTCCGGTATCAAAATTTTACCAAAATTAGTTAGTGTTAGTGGGGTGGTTTTCAGTAATTATAATTGTTTGTTTGTATTAATTATTTTTGATTGTGGTTTTATTTCTTATATTACGGATATATTATAAACGCCGTTCATTATGTCTCAATTTTATTTTAATTGAGACAAATCTATCCGTAATATAATCTAAATTCAAAACTGAAATCTTAAGTGAAGAAGAAGGAAAGAGTAACAGTTTACAATAAATTGGAAGCATGACGAAAAACCGTCTGTCGGGGTAATATTAAATGTGATTTTAATTAACATAAAAAAACGTAAGTCAAAAAAATAAACGGAACTAAAAATCGTATTTTTTCCACCAAGTAATACAAAGTTAATCTTAGAATAGGAAATAATATTTAAAACAGAAAGTAATACACTAATTTAACAACGATGAAATCTTACCTGCCTGGCTTTTAAAATTATACTTTTGATATGAAAACTGATACAGTTTCTAGATAATAACATACCCTTTGCTGTGGGTTCTACATTTTAAAGATCACAGATGATTCCAGAGAATGGTGTGGGGAGAACACAAAAAATCACATTTGGACGAATTCACAATTACCAGTTCAATACATATAGCAAAGAAACAAAATAGGGGTATACACGATCATTGTGATAAGCCTGTTAGGTCGTGTTAGATCAAGAAAAATGACGACGTAGACAGAATCGGCTAGTCAACATTGCTCGATCTAACAGGCCAGGGCCAATGAACAGGGGTATTCACGCTCTTTGTGTTATGCCGGTTAACTATGTTAGGTCCTGTTAGATCGAGAAAAATGATGACTTAGACTTGAAAGAATCGGGTAGTTAACATTGCTCGATCTAACAGGCCAGTGCCAATGTTAGATGATAGGTCGAAAATGTAGTCACATTGCTATCCGTTAGGGCGTAAGTAACCGACATGGCAGCCATGATTTTAACAGCTGTTTTTGGTTTACACGTATTTTTATTCATAAATACGCATTAATTAAATCAGACCAATACATTTTTGTTAATTTCTGACCTGTCCTTCACTCTCATTCATAGTAGATACATCCCCTATCCTGTAAAGTTGTAGGCTGTTAGGATACAGGCTAGGTATGTCGACTCGAATTGAAGCGTGTCATTTGTTAGTACTTTTCGATTGCATAGATAGCATTTTGAATGAAAGAGTTGATTAATTTTCCTTTTTTATTAACTTCTGGCATCTTACAATTTAATACAAAACAAAACCATAACAAACAACAAGCCATCAAGGACTGTTATAGCTTTATTTTTGGCTCTACCAATCGCCATGCGCAGCATTGCGGAAAAATTAACGTTTAACATGCTAACAAAAAAAGGGGGCGTTCTCGATCTTACTGGACATTTCTCCATTCGAGTTAACACGAATTAACATCTAACAAACATCGTGAATACCGCTATTTTATTAAACAGATTTAAAACATGAAATCACACGCTGCCACATGATGGGAAAAGCAAACCACGAAATAAATCTCACAAAAAGAGATTAATCAAAATAATAAGCTTTTAATAGAACAAATCACTTATCCCTAATTGTCTGTAGCCTATATTTCTGCCGTAATATAGCTATAGAATTAATTTAGATGCTAAGATCACAATAATACTAAGTAGGAAGTATTAAAACAATGTGGAAAATTGAAATGGGGCGTATAAAGCAAAAGTACAACCATTAGATCTTTATTTTATTACAATATAATGAAGCGAATATTGTTCGGGGAAAGATGGAAAATTGGATTCTGCAAGGAATTCCAAGTGAGTTGAGTAATTGCATTCGTTAAATGTATTTCTCTGATTTAATT